AATGGTGAAGTCCGAGAGGAATGCCTTCAAAATAGATGGTGGAACTTAGTCTTGAAACACTGCTTACTGTAGCATTCCTACAACATTGGCTACTGGAATTTGCGTTTGGGTCTCCCCTTAAGTCTTACACCCTTGCTTCTTTTATATAATCTGCAATCTGTTTTGAATCACCTTACAATCAAACTGAAGTTTTCAAAATCGTCATCTGAAATCATCTCTTTCATTGGACTCTCATTTAACTTTTGCTACAATCTCTGTGGACAATAATCCGGTACTTGTACCACTTTGTTACTTGGAAAGACGACATTGGACCGTATTGTATACTTGCTTTGTGGTCCAATTCCTTTGTCTGAAGGTGTGAGATATAATCGACCAAGTTTTTGGCGCCACTGTCGGGGATTGACAAGTTAAAAGTTTTATTTTGAGTAATGTAAAAGATTTGATTTTTCTAGTACCATTAGAATTGTTTTTAAAAGTGGTGTATGCCACGGTCACAACACGGGGAATTTTTTGAATTCGATCCCGATATTGAGAGAATGTTTCACCATAGGAGGAGGGCTCAAAGAGCATTTTTTGCTCTACTCCCTCCAAACATGGCGTTACCTCCCCCAATCATTTCGGAAATACCGCATTTGGAAAACCAACCGCCGGGTTTTGAACCAATTCCACCATTCCCGAATTTTCTACAAGGACACCCACATAATGGTAATGATAATAATTTGGACACAGAATCGAAACCTAATGAGCACCAAAGGGCACAAACTCCGAACATCATTAATTTGGCAAATTCCAAAAATGGAAGGATCATGGATTATGCTATTCCGGATTTTGAGCAATTAAATTCCAGGATAGTTAGACCACATATAACCGCTCTCCATTTCAAACTAAAACCGATAATGTTTTACATGTTGCAAACAAATGGCCAATTTGCCGGATTACCTTCGAAGGACCCACATTCGCACTTAAAATCTTTTATAAAAATCACTGATGCGTTCCTGATCCCAGGAGTGTCAAATGACGCTCTAAGACTCACTTTAATTCCTTTTTCATTGAGGGATCAGACAAAAGCATGGTTTAACTTGTTAACTCCGGGTTCTGTGCCGTCATGGAGTAACATGGCGGAATTTTTTTTGCGAAAATATTTCCCACCAACAAGGAACGCCAAGTCCAGGAACGAAATCTGTCTTTTTAAACAAATGGACGATGAGGCTGTTCCTGACGTGTGGAAAAGGTTCAAAGAGCTGTTGAAGAAATGCCCACACCATGGCATTCCGTATTATATTCAACTTGAGACGTTTTACAATGGTTAAATCCCATGGCAAAACAAATGTTTGATGCGACTGCGGGCGGAGCCTTTACAGCCATGACCTATATTGAAGGATATGAAATCCTGCAAAAGATTTCGGCAAACAATGGGAATTTAGGCCGACCCACGTGCTCAATCATAGAAAAAGACTGCTGGGATACATGATGTAGATGCAAATACTGCATTAACAGCTCAGCTCACCTCCATGACCAACATGTTGAAAAATTTAACTTCCGGTCAGGGAGGACAACAAGCTGCTAATAAACCTGTTCCAACAGTCTTATCTGTGCAATGTGTATGCTGTGGCGGGGAACACTCGTATGAACACTGTCCTCACCATTCTGAATCAGTAAACTATGTTCATAATCGAGCTAATCTCTATTCCAACACATATAATGCCAGTTGGAGGCAACATCCGAACTTTTCTTGGAACAGTCCCAGTTTAAACCCACCAGTCCATAAACTACAAGGAACTTCTAATTTCCAACAACATCATGGAAACAGTTCTAACTCTCAGAATCACCAACAAAGTTTTCAGAATTCCCAACCACCTTTTCAGAACAAAGCTCCTCCACAGACAAAATCTTCTTCTTTGGAAGCAATGATTAAAGGACTTTTTGCACATGCACAAGCCCAAAATCAATCTTTGATTAATCAACAAAGTGCGTTCATCAGGAATTTAGAGACTCAAGTCAGTCAACTTGCACTTAACTAGAACAATCGAGCCCTTAGTACCATGCCCAATAATACAGAGGTCCCTAGAGACCTAGGTAAGGAACATGTGAAAGTAGTAACCATTAGGAGTGGGAAGGAGTTGACATAAAAAGTGCCCAAAGAGAGTGTACCAACTTAGGCAAAGACTGATGCTACAACATTGGTTCCTGCCAAAGAAAGACCGGTCCAACCTCTAGAAAAGCACACATCAAAGACCACCACTTCTGTCCCCCCTAGATCAGACTATCCATTACTCTTTCCTAAGGATGCTTTAAAAAAGTCAGAAGAGACTGAGGTTGTAGAGACCCCTAAGCTTGATGCTAAAATTCCATCTGAACCTCTAAAGTGCACCACAAAGACCCAAGGCATTCAAGATCCATCTTGCTCAACACCTCCAAGCAAAAATGTGATAAAACCAGTCCCTCCTTATATTCCTTACCCCCAAAGGTTGAGGAATCAGAAAGAGGAACTGCTCTTCAAAAAATTCTTGGATGTGTTCAAAGAATTGCACATCAACATCCCACTTGTTGAGGCAATTGAGTAAATGCCTAGTTGTGCTAAGTTTCTGAAGGACATCCTAAGTAAGAAGAAGAAGAAGTTGACTGAATATGAGACTGTAGCCCTTACCGAAGGATGTAGTGCACTTTTGACCAATAGCATACCCCCTAAGCTCAAAGATCCCGGGAGCTTTACCATTCCTTGTTCAATAGGAGGGAAGGAAATAGGGAAAGCCTTATGTGACTTAGGTGCTAGTATCAACCTTATGCCTTTATCCGTTTTCAATACCCTAGGCATAAGTGAAGCTAGACCTACCACAGTTACACTCCAATTGGCCAACAAGTCCATAGCATACCCTAAGGAAAAGATTGAGGATGTGTTAGTGCAAGTTGACAAGTTCATATTTCCGACAGACTTTATCATTCTAGACTTTGAGGCAGATAAGGACATTCCTATTATTTTAGGGAGATCATTTCTAGCCACCGGAAGAACTTTGATAGATGTCCAAAAAGGAGAGTTGACCATGAGACTCTAAGACCAAAAAGTCACCTTTAATGTCTTCAACTCTCTAAAGTACCCTAATTACTTGGAAGAGTGTTCAAGAATAACTTAGATAGAGGAGATGTGCTTTGAAGAAGGAATTCAGAAAAACCTTAAGTTAGAAGAAGAGTGTGATGAGGAAATAGAAGAAGATGTTGAGGAAATAGAGGAAATAGAGGAAATAGAAACTGATATTGTCCCAGTGGATGCCGCAATATTTGAGCTGCTGGAAAATAGTGAGCAAAAAGGCTTCACCCCGTCCGTTGTATCACTACCTGACTTGGAGTTAAAGCAACTCCCATCCCATCTGAAATATGCTTTTCTAGGAGAAGAAGGCAAATTGCCTGTCATCATCTCATCTACCCTAGACTTGCATCAAGAAAAGAAACTAATGGATATGTTGAAATTGCACAAAAAGGCATTAGGATGGACCATTGCTGACCTTAAATGGATTAGTCCCTCTATTTGTCAACACAAGATCATCTTAGAGGATAAGAATTTCACTTCCATAGAACCTCATAGAAGGCTGAATCCGGTCATGAAAGAGGTAGTCAAAGGAGATTTTAAAGTGGTTAGACGCCGGAATTATTTTCCCGGTAGCCAGTAGTTCTTGGGTTAGCCCTGTCTAGTGTATTCCAAAAAAGGGAGGGTTCACAGTCATCACAAATGACAAAAAAGAACTTATCCCCATTAGAGTTGTATCCGGTTGGAGAATATGCATGGATTATAGAAGGCTAAACAAGGCTAATCAAAAATACCATTTTCCACTACCTTTCATTGACCAAATGTTGGACAGGTTAGCCATCAAAGAGTATTATTGTTTCTTGGATGGTCATTCAGGGTACAATCAAATAGCCATTTCTCCCAATAAGACCAAGAAAAAACCACCTTTACTTGTCCTTATGGTACTTTTGCATTTAGAAGAATGCCATTTGGACTGTGTAATGCTCCTGCCACCTTTCAAAGGTGTATGATGTTCATATTTTCGGATATGCTTGAAAAATCCATTGAAATATTTATGGATGATTTTTCTGTATATGGTTCATCTTTTGACAACTGTTTAGAAAATTTGAAAAAGAGCTTGGAAAGGTGTGAGGAAACTGATTTGGTCCTAAATTGGGAAAAATGTCACTTCATGGTCAAGGAAGGAATTGTTCTTGGACATTTAATTTCAAAAAGAGGGGTTGAGGTAGATAAAACAAAACTCGAAATTATTGAAAAACTACCGGAACCTACCACTGTTAAGGGAATTAGAACCTTTTTGGGTCATGCCGGATTTTACAGAAGGTTCATCAAAGATTTTTCAAAAATTTCAAAACCTCTCTGTTTACTCTTACAGCATGACCAAAAATTTGATTTTAATGATGAATGCATAAATGAATTCAAAACTTTGTAAAAAGCTTTGGTTACTGCACCAGTGGTAGTTGCCCCTGATTGGAACAAACCTTTTGAGATCATGTGTGACGCGAGTGATTGGGCGGTAGGTGCTGTGTTAGGACAAAGGAAATAAAAAGTGTTTCATTCAATTTATTACGCAAGTAAAATTTTGAATGAGGCACAGATTAATTACACCACAACTGAGAAGGAATTATTGGCCATAGTTTTTGCTTTTGAGAGATTTAGGTCCTACTTGATGGGAACAAAGGTAATTGTGCATACCGATCACGCGGCCATCAAGTACTTGATCTCAAAGAAAGATGCAAAACCGAGGTTAATAAGATGGGTGCTTTTATTGCAAGAATTTGACTTAGAGATACTTGATAGAAAGGGAGTAGATAATCAAGTAGCGGACCATTTGTCTAGGTTAGAAGAACCTGAGATAAGAGGAATGGACATTAGTGATACTTTTCCAAATGAAAGAATCCTCATGATAGACCAACCAAAAACACCATGGTTTGTGGATTTAGAAAATTTCTTGGCATGTGGAATAAAACCCTCTGATTACACAGGCCACATGTTGAAAAAATTCTTTCATGATGCTAAATCTTATTTGTGGGATGACCCCTTTTTGTTTAGACTTGGTGCAGATCAAATTTGAAGAAGATGTGTGCCTGAATCTGAAGTGTCAGCAATCTTGCAGCATTGCCATCATGCACCATATGGAGGCCAAAGAACTGCAACCAAGGTCCTACAGTCTGGTTTTTATTGGCCAACCATTTTTAAAGATTCCCACAATTTTTCACAGAGGTGCAACGAATGTCAAAGAAGTGGCTCCATTTCTAAAAAAAATGAAATGCCATTAAATGGGATACTTGAAGTTGAATTATTTGATGTATGGGGAATAGACTTTATGGGTCCTTTCCTTCCATCAAATAATTGCCAGTACATACTTGTGGCTGTTGACTACGTATCCAGATGGGTGAAAGCTATGGCATGTGTGTCAAATGATGCCAAAATTGTGGTTAAGTTCCTCCAAAAACAAATTTTCACACGGTTCGGTACCCCTAGGGCACTAATTAGTGATGAAGGTACCCACTTTGTGAACAATTTGTTCAAAGGAGTTCTTGAAAAATACAATGTTAACCATAGAATTGCCACGACTTATCACCCACAGACTAATGATTTGGCAAAGCTCTCTAATAGAGAAATTAAAAGCATTTTGGAAAAAGTTGTCAAACCCAATAGAAAGGACTAGGCATTCAAGTTAGACGATGCTTTATGGGCATACAAAACCGCTTTCAAAACACCAATTGGTATGTCTCCATATAGCCTAGTCTATGGAAAAGCCTGCCATCTGCCTTTAGAACTTGAGCACAAAGCATATTGGGCTATCAAAGAGCTCAATATGTCTTTGGATGAAGCTGAAAAGAAAAGAAAGTTACAACTTTGTGAAATGGAGGAATAAAGACAAATGTCTTATGAAAATGCGAAGCTTTATAAAGAAAAGACAAAGAAGTGGTATGATAACAGAATCCAACACCGAGAGTTGAAAGAAGGACAAAAAGTCCTCTTGTTTAACTCTAGGTTGAAACTATTCCCGGGAAAGCTCAAGTCTAGGTGGTCTGGACCTTTTGTCATTCATAAAGTTTACTCTTATGGAGCGGTTGACCTGATTAAACCAGAGGACAACACTGTGTTTAAAGTGAATGGGCAACGAGTTAAGGTATTTCATGATGCTGTAGCATTCCCAGAGCATTGCTCTGAGAATTGGGCCATACCTTAGGAATTGAAGATGTATTTGGAATTTTCAAAGTCCAGGGTTGTTTGTACATATATTTCCTTTTTATATCTATGTATTAGAGCAGTTATGTTTTATTAGTTTGTTCTTGCGCAGGTCATTTTCAAAGGAATTGTTAAGAAAAGTGAATGCTCTGCCAATGCTGTAGCATTCCTATTTTCACATGTGAAGGTTGACATCATCTTTTTAAGGAAATTAGTGGAAGTACAAGTGACATCAGCACTGCATCACAACAGTATTGTCAGCATCTTTTCTCAGAATTTGTCTCCCATGCATCTTGAACCCACTCCATCACATTTAATTTTTAACCTCCTGATAACTACCTTTGACACTTCCTAAAACCACCATTTCATTTAGATGAGAAAGGAAGACTTGATTAAGATAAGACTTTTCATCTTCCTCATAACCAACCTCACCCATCTCCATCGACGGCTTTCTCATCGTCGGCTTCCTACTTTAAACATCACCTCCCCATTTCTTTTATGATTTTCCATCCAAAGCCACTCTCATTAAAATCACATTAAGATTACTGTCACCTTCCACTCTCACTTCACCCTCACCAATTGATTGATCATGGCCCGAATGAAAAGGGCAGCGGTTCGCGACCCACCACAGCCGGTACGACGAAACAATCGCCGGCGAGCTTCCTCCTCCACTTCACGACAAATAGGGGAACCCGAATGGGTGGAACTTTCGCTAACAGCCCCTCGTCGTCTCCACCTTCATCACCATCGCCGCCTAGACCACAGCTAATCGCAACCTTGGTCGTCGAGTCTCCTCCACGCGCTAAACAAACGGCGAGGCGACCGCCGTCTCCTCCGTCTCCCTCGACCAACTGTGCACCCTCACCTCTACCATCTTCCAACGTCTCTCGTCCATCTCCACCACCTACGGCAGTCGAGACCACCATTCCACCACCATCATCGCCGACGATTACAAGCCCTAAATCGGGTGTTGAGATAAGCATAGTTTTGAGCCCTAATATGCCTATTGAGGGGCTTACTACATCCGATTCTTCTGAGGATGAAAACTTTGGACAACCACACTCACCATCCACTATTTTAAATTCATCAAGAGTTTATTTTTTTGACTTGGTATGATCACCCTTGCACTCAAATGCCTGAGCCTACTATTTTGGCTGATTCTATCCCTCACATTGTTGGGGATGAACCTATTGAGCATGAGCACATTGACACTCATGTTGGGGAAGAAGCCATTGATTCCCCACACATTGAGGTTGATTTAGAGGCTGATATAAGGAATTTGACACCTATTCCAACAAGAAAAAGAAAGAGTTTGGGAAGAGTTTTTGCAACTAGATCACATGCGGTGAATAGGCAGCCTCTTAGAAAGAGAACCAGATGCACATCACCTTCTGTCCAATTAAGGCACACAACCTTTGTGCCAAGAAAGTCATCCCGAAAGGCTTCGGCAAGACATGATGAAACAGCCCGTCCTTCTCGGGTGAAAGCTACACATAAGATGTTAAAAACTAAACCCATTCCTAGACCACAACAACCTTTTGATGGGTTTAGTTCTGAAGAAGCACAGTTGATGTTTGCAAAGGTAAAAAATAAGAAGGTGTTGCCAGACAAAGGGTTCGATAGGAGAAGCTTTGAAGAGTTCAGTTTTATCCAGGACGTGATCAACATGCAAGGCTGGCATGTACTGTGCGAGGTAAAAAACTCCTTCAATTTATCTTTGATTAAGGAATTTTACGCGGAAGCTTGTGTGTATAGCACTACAAAGCTCAAGGTCCAGGGTGTTAGGGTGAGTATCTCAGCTAAGGCGATTAACAAGCTTTTAGGCCCTTCACC